TTTTCTATTATATATTGCTTTAAGTGTTTTACTGGAAGTAGACTGGGGTTATTCACTGTCATCTGTGTACTACTGTGTCCTAAGTGGTTGATAATCGAGTTAAAGTGGAGAAGATACTTTAAATCGGCAGTGATCTCCGATGAAAAAGACTCGTAAAAAAATGTATTTCTTGTATTAAACGAAAATACAAATGATGGATCTTTTTAATTATGTTTTTTGTGCTTTTTTTATTACCTTTATTTGTTAGAGTAGCTGAAGAGTGACAGGAAATTGTAGCAAAGGGCCACAGGTTGGAATCAAGGCAGGGCCACAGGTTGGAATCAAGGCAGGGCCACTGCGGTAAGGACTAAGCCTTAGTACATGGGGCGCACGCTCTACTAGGTGAGCTACTGGGGACCCCAGATTATGTATCTTTACGCCAAAACTTTTACATACAAGATGGCAAATTTGGCATTCATACCAAACAGTCTCCATGAACCATGGGTAGAGAGTCTTGTAGTCGTTCTTGAAGTCAATCCACCTTCCCATTCGCCTCACTGAAATCTTGGAACAATAAACAAATGGCATATAAAAAAATTCTGCCTGACAACTCCCTACCAACTATCATATTTAGGTTGGGTGCAGCCTCACTACATTTTAGAGCAGGTTCAATGAACTGTCAGACATGTTGACAAATGAAGAAAAAACAACAACAAAAGAAAAACTGGTCTCACAAGTATGGCTACAAAATTCTCTGACATGAGGATATTATCGTTTCTTGTATATTCACCTCCCACTCGTTGGAGTATCTCATGACAATGTTTCTGCACTGCTTGTTGTACTCGGCGATGCCCATCTTGGCCACATCTTCTGGCCCTTTGATCCCCAAAGTTTTATCAATCTCATACTCCTACAAAAACACACAGAACATGAGACAATTACATATTTATACAAATAAATCTGTAAATCTATGCACAACCTTTCAGTAAAATTTGAAGATTTCAGATGACAGATTATTACCACAGGCAGACCGTGACAGTCCCAGCCAAAGCGCCGGTCTACATGGAAGCCGCTCTGGTGGGCAAAGCGAGTAACAATGTCCTTGATGGTGCCGGCTAGGATGTGCCCATAGTGGGGTAGACCCGTGGCAAAAGGAGGGCCATCGTAGAAGGTGTACCTGGTTGGAAAAAGGGTGGCAAAAACCTTTAAAAAGGTCTGGAGAGTATTTTCTTACTGATAACAAAAATATGTGAATGTAAAATGATAAGACTATGATGTCTGGAAAAAGCCTCTTCAAAACCAAGTGCCCAAGATAACAGAAACACAACATTAACACTGCTATATTACATGAGTCTATTCATACAGGAATAATCTGCATCTTCACTGCTTATCTATAGGCTATATATCTGATCAACAAACAGTGAGTATGTGAGAACAGAAACGACTGTTTGGGGGCTACAAATTCATCTATGTGCTGATATCTAACTTGGTAGTTTCATTTAGCAAATATTAAATCTCTATCAGTGTTGGTGAGAGTCTGCTTGTGAGCAAGGTCCAATTAACTACTGCTTTGTTTAGCAAATGTCATCATGACATTTAATCTTTTGTTGGCTAAAAAGGAAAAAAAAACAATATAATGTTGAAAGGTAATTAATGTACAAACCCTCTAGTTCAACCTAAACAAAAGAGACAAGGAGGGATTTACATGTGTATTTTCACATCAGTGAAGCCCTTATGACACAAAGATGTGGACTATTCTTTCCCCACCCTTTCTCTATTTATTGTGGTGAATTAACTTGATAAAAATAAACCAAACTTTCTTGTTCCTTCACGTTGAATGTTTGTGCTGGCTGACTTAACAAATGATAACATTGGCATCAACTCATACAGCCGATTTTAAATGGTCCACTGTTTGGTACTACATGCTTTCAGGTGATGGACATGTACTGACACTCACTAAGATCAAATTCTGGAAGAATACAATGAAGTCTAACAACAACTGGTTAACCAGGAAATGACACTTCTTGGCAGCGCAACACCTATAATGCTAAATATGAAACGCATATTTTAGTATCATTACTTTGAATTTAATTATTTTTATTCTATTTTATATATTTCATCACAAAAAAATACTTTTACAAAATTACACACTCATCTTATGCTTCAATAACTTGTTGTGGGAATATATTTTGCTTAAGTTAATGATTATAAACCACCACAGAGTTGGGATTTACTTGGGCCTGTTCTTGGACTGTTTGAGGCACTCCTGAAAGCAGTCCTTTTCTTGCCAAAGCTGCAAGATCTTCTCCTCCTCAAAGGGAAAGTTGATGGACTCAGGGACTGGCTCCACCATGGTGTCTGCCAAAACAAACACGTAACTCAACAGACTTGTGGTGCAGGAAGAAAAGGGAAGTAAATCACAATGTTTAATGTCACGAAAATCACACGATAAATAATGTTCCCCCTCTTAAAGCTATGATATCAGTCATGTATTACCCACTGAAATATATATTATTGTCTCTATAACAAACAATTCAACTAATACTAACTAAATCACTCTTCCACAATACTGTATAACATGTGGGTCAAATGGAAACTACATTATAAGTAAACAACAACAAGCATTAAGATGTGTCCTCCTCAGTGAATGCCCCCCCTCCACAGATCCTTATGGGTCAACCTGTCAGAAACCTGTCAGAAACCTGTCAGTGATCGATAGTTTCTCCACAAAACACGAAGTCCTTTAACAGTTTCAAGTGCTAAAGTCAAGCCTCTCTAAAACACTATTTCCAAGTCGAACATGCAACCGCAGAAACTTTCCCAAAACTCGTTACTAACACCCAATAAGTCACTTTTTTCTTTTCTTTTAACACAGCAGTCACTTCACAAGACTGACGCCTCCTTGTTGTTAGCTCGCAGGCTAAGCTAGCCGGTCAACGTTTCAGTGAGTTAGCTTGAAGCTAAAGGGAGCGTAAAGTTAGTTAAAGGCAGCGACTGAACGCTCACATGTACCAGCAGCTGTACAGTGGAGTGCGACTCCAATCCAAGCTTTCCGTTGTGATTATTAAGTGTTGAATGGATATACTCACATGTTGTCTTCTCCCGGCTGCCGAGAGAGAGAGAGAGAGAGACGAGAAATGATGCAAGCTGGTGTCAGCGTGAGCGGAAGTGACGACTTGACGCAGAACTGATTTGTAGCAGGAAAATAAAATGCATTTAAAACTGTACGACTAACAAAATAAAATAATGTTTTAAATAGCTTCACTAATATATCCCAGCATGGTTAGTAGATTTACTGACATTAATAATAGCTGTGCTTCATTTTGTCCGAAATGTGACTTATTCGACATAGTTGGGAAATGTCACATAAATAAATAGTTTTTTAAAAAGCAGTAGGAAGTTTCTGAAACAGAAACTGTACTGCCAAACTTCACATATGTAGTTCATTTATTTGTGTTTACATTTAAACATGTCAGTGGCATGTTTTGCAGTATTTTGGTTGTATTAATCTTTGTCCTCAAGTTGATGTCAATTTGTTTTTCAAGGGAGGGGTTCATAGATAAGGCTGGGGAGGTTTGCACTTATTAAATTAAATATAAATTAATTAAATATAAATAAAATTCAGTGCCTGTCCCCATCCTGGTAAATTTCGCACTGTCCTTAATTCTTTTTTCTTGTAGTTTCATTAGAAAATATGGTGTGACTGCACACCACATGACTGATATCTACAGTACATGTACAGAGTTCATGGATAAGAGAATACAGGGACCGTAATGGGACATAAAGGGAATACTAAGCTTAAATACAATCATGCATCAAGGCTCTGCCTGTATTTATGCTTTAAATTTGTGTCAATCTGTGTCTCTCCCAATAATTTAAGGTAAGATATTCCTTTATAGATCCACCATGGGAGAAATTCCTGTTTGACACAGGAGCACAGGGGAAACGTAGAGTAAAAGTACCGACGTATAAAAAAATATAATAAAATATTTCAAAGATATAATTGAAAATATATACACTGTATTCAGTATAGAAATGTGGTGTGCATGTGCAATTATTGCAAGTTAAGTTTAGTTAAGTTAGCAGTCATTAATGAGCAGAGGTTGGAGGTTCTGGGTGCTGTGGCACTGTGGAGTCTGATAGCTGATGGTACTATTTGTTTTAAGTGTTGTTTAGCAGTGTTTATATATTTAACTGTGTTCAGACAGAAATGACTTTTCTTTTAAATAAATATTGTACTCCGCAAAGGAAGCTTTTATAATCCGACTTTTCTACATTATATCTCATCTTTGTATCTTTGTCCAGGTGACAAGGACTAAAATAACTAAAACTGTTTTGTTTTTTTCAGTGTAACAGAAAACCCCAGTATATTAATGAGGAAGGTGGACACTTGTAAAACCAGCAATTGTGTAAAAAGAAAAGGTATGTACCATAAGAATGTAATTAAATTCAGTGTCAATCATTTTTCTATTATTCAGACAGTAACACCTAATATCTGGTAGAAAGTACGTTTCTAGTAATTACATCTTACATCTCTATCAATAATTACAGTAAGACAAAGGTCGGATATACACCAACAGCTTTGGATGTTTGAGAGATAATGTACTATCCCTTTTGTAAAAGTACTTTACACCTTCATCACATTTCTAAAAGGAACAAAACAATATCAGAAAACACTTTACTAACCCTACCAACTTCATTTCTCTGAATGTGAACCTGAATTATTTTAAGGTTGTTTGCCTTTATTTGACAGTGATAGCAGAGATATAGATAGGAAATGCAGAAGAGGAAGACCAGAAATAAAAACAGGTCCACAGCTGGAGTCAGAGGATGCCTCAGTTATATGGTACGAGTCTTAAACACTCAGCTGCCAGACGCCCTGTGTAATAATCCTCATTCCCTCTTGTGATTTTGATCCAGACAGTTTAAATCACCTTGGAGGAAGGCAGCCAATCAAGTCATTCATTTCATACAATCAGACTGAGGCAATTACAACAAAAAAATGGAAATGAAATCTGATGTTTTGTTAACAAAGCATAGCTTTATTGTGATGGTGGAAACGTGGAACGCTGACAGACATGGAGGTGACCGGATAGCAGCCTATTTCGCCTGAACTGCCTTCTGCGCCGCCTTCATGCCCTTCTTGTTGTGCTTCTTAGCAAAGCGCATGTTCCTCAGGAACTTAGGGTCCACCTGCAGCAAAGAAAAAGAAAAAAAACAGTGAAGTGAGGAGGTGGGATGCAAGTGTGGAGGTGGTGCACAATTCTGAGATCTATTATCTATACAACAAAGCAAAAGACACACAGGCTCAAACTGGATAAAAACAAACTGAACATTATCCAGGTTTCTAGTTTAACTAGAAAAAAAAAGATCAGAACCCCCTCACTAGCCTATGCAATCAGGATTGTGTGGTTAGTGCCACAGTTTAACATCTGGCCACGGTACAATACACTTACATCCACAGTCTCAAGCCAGTTAATTCTAACACTGGTCTCTAAAGTCAAAACTTAAAAGTTGTTATAATAAGTAATAGAATAGAATTATTTCCCAGCCATTCCTGTGAGAGGTGATCAAAGATTGTGAAATGGTACGTATGAAAATACATTTCCTGTAAGTAAAGGCACAACAAGCCTTCTACTAGGATCATGTTATGTTAGTTAGGTTAGCTTATTGAAAACAATGCTACAACAAATCAATTCACAAACATTTGAAAATCTCAACATTCAGCTGCAACTTCTAAACCTGTCTGCTGGTTACACTCACAATAAGGAACAACAATCACAGTTTCCCCAAGAAAACTGTTTAGCTGAAGTACTGGGCTACCTAAATAAGGACACATCTGATCCTCATTGGTCCTTTAATAGATTACCTAAAACTTAAGACACGTTCATTTAAGTGAATCTGTGTTACTTTGTTGGAAAACAGCCACTGTGGCCCTTTTTATGGATAAATATAAATTCTAAAATTAAATATATCAGCACAAGAAGAGAAAAGTCTTAAAGTCAAACTGACTCAGTGATGTCAATGTACAACCATATAAAGGAAACAGGTTCATACAGGTTTTGTTAAAAACTGGACAATGCTTTCAGCATTTTTAATTCTGGCTCTTCAAATTTTCAACACTTTAGAAAATTAGAAATCACACCAGTCGGTTCAGTCTGAAAACCAATTCCCATTAACTTTTGTAAAGAAAATGTAACGTGCATCTTTGTCCAGGCAAGGTTCGACACTCGACTCCTAAAGCAAGCGATAATCTGATTTCTTAAAAAGCATGTATATGAAAATGTGTTTGTGATCAGGAAGGAATTAAAGAATCTATTTCCTTAACAGGATTTCTCCTTAAGATCATCAAGTGTCTCTGCTACTCTGCTATATATATATATATATATATATATATATATTTTCTCTTTCATGTCATCATTTTCTTATGTTTCTTAACTTGCAGTACTGGCTTTCATCTTTATATATTCTTTTGTAGTACTGCGTTTCTTATATACCAGTATACCAAAGCAGATTCCTTGTATGTAAAAACACAGACATAAAAGATCTCAGACATAACTGATAAGCAGCAGTGTGTAAGGAACAATTATAGTTAGTAGGGATGAATTATGATATTCAAACTAATCCAATTAAAAAAAGAGTAGCCTCTGCAGGACTGTATGTGCTGCTTTCCACAGCTGAACTGTATCAGACACATTTGTTCAATATGGGGAAAATCCAAAATCAATCCAAATTCTCCAGCATACACAAAAAAAACCCCACTCTTGTATCACTAATAAAGCTAAAGCGAGAGAGCAAAATAGAGTCTGATTATTGACCTGCTGCAGGTACCCAGGTTACTACCATGCATATATTAATTCTGAGCCATTAAATATCTTTTGCACATGTAAAACATACCATCAGCACAGAGCTGTAACTGTACGTACCCCCTTCAGAGACTCGTAGCGCTGAGATCTGGGCTTCTTGATGCCATTCCTGTGGGCTTTACGAGCTGTTCAGACGAGAGCAAAAAACTATTAACACATTAAGTCCATTTGTCCAACGCACAGTAACGTTACACCTGAACACAATGTTTAAGTGGACGAACATGCAAAGTTTAAAAGCTGATATCGCTATCGGACATCACCTGACTTCAACAAGATGTGCGTTAACTACAGTCATACTTACACTGGTTGTGGGTTGTGTGGTTCTTAGACTTCGCCATTTGGACACTGATTAATCTGAAGAGGAGAAAAGTTCAGACAACATCAGACGCTGAGCTCGGTGTAGCATCCACTAGCATGTCAGCTATCCGGCAGCCAGGGAAACTTCGTACAATGTAAACAAATGCGTTTAATAAACAACATCGTAAACAAACAGTAGCAGTCAAATGTCTACCTAAAAGGTGGATAATTGTTTACTTATGTGGGCAATTATAGTTATTAATGAACACGTTTTTAGACCGTAAGAGGGACAACTACCAGGGGCAGCGTTAGCAATTTTTAAATCCAATTTTCAACTTTTAATGAGCATCGCATCTAAAACATATTACGATGGAAATGTGCGCAGTAAAGTGATTAATCAAAACCAGTGGGTGTTTATGTGCAGGAATGTAAAATACACCAAGATTGATGAAGATTTTAAAAGTCCACCTAGGTGGGAAAACTGTGTACCTGCCACACGAACAGACGACAACCGGAAGAGAAAGGAAACCAAAGCGGCCAGAGGAGAAGAAGAAGAAGAAGAAGTGTCAAGTCAAGAGAGGAAGAAAAGGCTGGTCTGTTTTAATGACACTGCCACCTGTCGGTGGTTTATGATGTTTAAGGTGAGAGCCCACAGCTGCCCACAGGGTGTCACCCTCTGTTCGTAGGAGAGAAATACAATCCAGGAGCAAAAGGTAACACGTTTTTCCTGGTGTCTTCATTAGGTTTTATTTATAAAGTTTACATTTCATACACAGAGATAGATTCAAGGTATAATGTACAGAGTTTAAAGTTTAAAACAATAGAGTTAAATAAAAAGGAGCAAGAAAGAGATAAATCCATGTAAATGTAAGATTCAAATTAAGATAAATAAATACATGATTTATTTTTAAATATTATTATTAATAATAATAATAATAATAATAAGAGCATTAATAAGACTTTCAGTTTTGGAAATATTTCGGTAAAAGTTCTTAAGAATAACAAAGTTCTTCAGAAAGTGTGAAAATGACACAACTTCCTTTGTCTGGAAGGTACATTCATTTCTTTGTTCTCTGCCAAATTGTGTTTATTTTCTCTTTCCCTTTTTGGTGTTCTTTTCTTTTCTTCTCCAGAGAGGTGTAAAGTAACTTTACTTTTTGGGTATTTCTATTTTCTGCTACTTTATAGCTTACGTCATGTAACTTGTTTTTAATACACTACATTTCTTTCACAGGTATACCTATTAGTTAGTTTAATTCTAAGATCATAAAGTATAATAAACATATAAAATACAATGCATGCATTTTCACACAATAAACCAGTAGTATTTCTACTCTAAACATCTCAGAAGGTTTCCTTTAAGGTCCAATTTGTAGGATTTAGTGGCATTCAGCAATGTAGTTACAGGTCATTATTATGTCATTTTTAGGTCATTATACACTATTGAAAACATATCTATGAATATCATATTCAGTTTTTGTTTTTTCTGGGCGGTCCCCACAATGCTACTGTACAGACGGATGCTTCGTTATAAACAATCTAATAAAGTGATTTATTCTCATATACCAGTCACAGGGGCCATTTTCCTCTGAAGAGGTATTTTCTTATTCTCTCTGCACATTTACTTTAGTAGGATTTTGAGTGCAGGACTTTTACTTATAACAGAGTGTTTTATATAATTGTATTGGTACTTTTACTTAAAGTAAGGGATCTGACTACTCCATCAACCACTCCTTTTACTTTATCTTTTTCATTCTGCCTAATAAAAGACTAGTATCAAACCACTGCCTGTTTGAAGAGCATAATGCTAATTCTCAGCAGCTCCTTTTAATTATTACCAATTAAATAAGGTCTGTGGTTATACACAAGCCTAAAATGGCTTCATATTTTATTCTCTTTTACTAAATTGCTACTGTTAATATCTCACCAGCTGCGTAATGTCACCCTCTTCACTTCAAGTGATTACATGTGGTTCAGAAATGGTTGAACAAAAAGTTATTAGCCTCTGATTGCGACAGAGCTTGAATTTCTCATGAGCCCCATGAACAAGAAACGTTTACGGGACCAAACGTCAGCAATTAAATCCAGGTTAGCCTTTATGAAGCTGAGCACTCACTAGGTGGTTGCAAATGGGGTCATTTCACGACTTACTGGAAGGAAACATGTGCATCAACATTTTCATTTCAGCTACAACTGCTGACCCATTTCATTTAAAGTCCCATTAGTCACACTAGCAGTGCAACTACCTAATCATATTATTGCAAAACTAGGGGGCGCCATCATGAAACCAAAAAATAGAAAATTCTTCCTTTTGGTTTCAGATTTTTTTTTCTCAAAGGGGAACAGAGAACATGTGATTTACAGAGAACTGATGCTGTAGCAGACAAAAGACGCTGTTTTTTGTTTCAGTTTGGCTTTGACGTGTTAAACCACATACAGCAAACATCAACATGTTAACATTGTCATTATGAGCATGTTACTGCAGGCTAATGTTAGCGTTTACCTCAAAGCATCCTCAGAGCTGCTAGCGTGGCTGTGGACTGACTCACTATCTCATCTTTTTGACTTAAAAAGTAGCAAATTTTACTTTGTATCTTTTAGATTAAACTTCTGGTCTCATATTGTTGTTATACTGCCATATCAGTGCATAGCTGAAACAACTGTTGTAACTCTTCAACAGGCTGAAAGCTGTGTAGTGTGTGTTGGGAGTGGAGCTGTATTAACTTTATGACATGACAATTGATAAGCCGCAACTAACGGGCAAAAACACAATTTCTTACTTTTGTAATAAAACATTTCAGAAAAAACTCTTTGAATACTTAAATTGTTTAAGTAGATCCAACTATTTTAATGTTTTTGTTTTAAAAGGAAGCAAGTTGTTTGCATTTGTTTACATCCTGATTCCTTTATATAGTGTATCATTTTGAAGAAAACAACAAATACTGTGATATACTGTGAATCTTAAAAAGTGATAAAAATCTTTGGCCATACCACCTAGCACTATTTAGTGGTAATTTAAGCAAAACACTCCCTGACAATCCCTGGCTAAGCTGTCATACAGTTTCTCGATGATAAAAATAACCCCAGAGGACCACAGAAGAAAATCTATGATTGGATTCACTGTTAAAAATCTGAATGAAATCTGGTGGAGATTTGGATACACTTGCCATTCATCATGCTTTTAATGGACCGACCGCTTCTTTTAGTGATTTTCCACTTAAGCCACAACATTGCAACCAGCATGGTGAGATGATGGACAGATTGTAAAGCAGCCAGCATTTATAGACAGATCCACAGAGATTACCGAGCTGCTGGCCCTCCCCTGTGTTGTGATGAATGTGAAAGGATGCACAGCCATGTGACCGAGTTTACATCTCTCTCTCTCTCACACACACACACACACACACACACACACACACACACTTCATCATACACTGACAGAACCGAGGGATTTTTTTTCTAAACATGGTTCTAATTTCTTGTCTTCCTTTCCTTTCTTTTCCTTGCCTTTCCTTTAATCTCTCCTCTCATTCTCAGCTGAGGTTGGGCGATTCCCCGCTCAAGCAGAAGAAATCATGCAGCAGCATCCTATATTTAGACCCCTGTTTGATCATACGAGCCTCTCCACTCCACTCTGCAGCATTCGGCTCCGCTCAGTCAATTATAGATTTGGGTGCAATGTGTTGTTTTTTTTTTTCATACATAGTGGTCAAGAAAGAACTGGTTTTCTTTTCCTGTGAGATTTTTAACAAGTGGTAGTTGTGGTGCTGTGGGAGTGTGAGTCTATACTGCAAACTGAACAAATCTCTGTGAATATTTTCTCAGTGTCTGTGTGAAGTATTTATTAATGAAGTGAGATCATTTCACTTGGTTTAGTGAAATTCGCAATCATCATAGCTCAACCCCATAACACGTGATTATGTTAGGAAAAAAACTGGATCAAAGAAACTTATTTTTTGAATGTGCAGGGGACTCTTATTATTGCCCCTTGTGGTGGTCGGGTGCAAAACACACACTACTAACTGTCATGTCCCAGTGGGTGTATCCTCTCTTCGGCCTCAGGGGGCAGTCATGAGCCCATTACAGCACATCAGAATAAGGTGAAGAAGATGCTACACTAGAAAATACGCTTGGACAGGTGCCACAAAGGTCATATTTATGCTTTATTGGTGTTTTCAAACTGTAATTTACAAGAGAAAAGACTTTAAGGACTGTCTCCTGTACACTTTTATTTACAGGCTACATCTCTACATTGCTACACAGATGACACAAACTTGTTCATAAATTCAGTCATCCAAGTCTGTAATTTTATTTGCTGGTTAGTCTATTTTATTTAATTTTTTCACTGTCAAAAGAAAAGTTCACTGGTTCACCAGGTAAACACTGCCGGAAGAAAGTGTCAAGAAAAAGTCCAGCACATAACCTCCCACAATTAGTGGTTTTTGTTTTTTGTACAGATTAAACTATTGCAATAGGCCGTGTTATTTACTGCACTTTAGATGTTCTGGTAGCATCCATTCATCTATCCCAGACTCTTTACATTTCTAGTCTTTTACAAACACACACCACACACACACACACACACACAAACTCTAATTCAGTTACAGAATATGAAGGTCTCGCGTGCTGTCTAACCTGATCTTAGATATTAGATCTTGTGAGATTCTGATTGTAACCCATTTTCCATATGAGGAAAAAAAAAATCACCACACATGCAGATCCATAACTGTTTGTAATTATTAAACATTGTGCTATATTGCTTCCCTGGTATTGCATTGCAATTCAATTACTTTTGCATCTTCTTTTCATGTCACGGTGAGTTTCTTGTGTCAGGAGGATGTTATCATTTAACATCACATAGCTACAGTGTTATAATTTTATAATTTTTTGCAGAATGAACATCTTGAGAGTACTGTGCTGTACATGAAATCCTGCCTACTGCCTATAATAAGCCACCAGCACTGCTTCCCTTTGAGAGAACAGAAGAACACATGCTGCTTGGGCTCTTTGTGGCTTTGTTTCTGTTTTTGTCGTCCTCTTGCTGTCATTCTTTCTTTCACTCAGTTATTTGTGTCACAGAGCACACTTCTTATATGTCTCTGCTGTGTAGTTAAAGACAAGTACTTTTACTGTAAAAGGGAAACTTGTGCTGTTTAGTTTACTACGATTATTTGACTGCTGTGCAGATAAAATACGTTTTTATATACCAAATGTACTCTCAGTGGCCACTTTATGTTCACCTGTACAATCCAACACAACAGCACTGCCAAAACATCTGCTTTCCCAGAACAGTTGCATTGGATTGTGTTAGACTGTACAGTTGTACCTAATAAGGTGGCCACAGTGTGTATCTTAAAAATGGTAAGGGCACATGGTATATGATCCTTTATTTAAAAAAAAAACCTGATGCACAGTTGTTAAATATATCACACATCTACAGTGCATAACGTAGTTCAAATTAGTTCCAGCTCGACCAGCTTCTATACAAAATTGGGACTAAACTATAATAACCCTAA